TTCAAATGGATGTAGAGTCTGAGAAGCCAGGAATATTGGATGGGCCAGTATTCCTTGTGGCTTCCTCTGGAAATAGATGCCGCTACAAATTGAGATCTGCCCAGAATGGCTGGGGTCGGGAAGGGTTTGGCAGGAGGAAGGGGGCGTGGCTGGCTGGGCGTCAGGCGAACCTGAAATCCAGAGCAGTCCCTGTGTCAGTCTTGCCGGAACTGCCCTGGCATTTACTCTCCTGGCCAAAGAGAACCCAGCAGGTGATGTCTGTCCAGAAACTGGATGTACCCGCAAGAAGAGCATGGCTACCCTGTTGTAACACTTCCCATATTTCAGACTCTGGTTCTCTGGCCTGTAGCACTGGGTGAGGCTGGGGCTTCCTGGTGTGTGTGGGGGTGGGGGAATCCCTGAGATTCCCGGAGGTCTTTGGGCCTGTCGCTTCCAGGGCAGACACCACAGAAGGCTCTTCTGCAAAAACCACCCCCTGCTTCACAGGTATCATTACCCCATGTGGGCCTCAGGGCAGTCCCACGGGAGGGGAGTATCGCTGCCCCATTTTGTTGATGAGAAAACTGAGGGGTATAGAGGTTAAATAACTTCCTCAGGTCATATAGTTAGGACATAGTGGAGGGGGGCATGGTACAGGCCTCAAGTGGGTTTAAGACCAGTTGGAAGCCTGGGAGGTCTCTGGAGGCAAGCTGCAGGGCTCTATCCTCAGCCCTGTCCTGGTCAACGCTTTTATTTGTAGCCTGAGTGAGGACATTGCAGCTAAAGTAGACTTTCACACAGAGCCCTGATTTGATTCACCTTCTGCCCATTCCTGGGTCCAGGGATCAGTGCATCACCATCCTCCACTTGGCACTCCCGGTCCAGGGATGTGTATGACCTGATTTGGTCCAGTCAGGCTAAAGGGAAGGTGCTTGGAGGAGAGGTTCCTTTCCCCTCTGTCTGTCTCTCTGTCTCTATTTCTCTCGTTCATCCTCTCCTTCTCTCTGGACCGGAACATACCCACAGCGGCCACCTGCCGGCTTCTAGAGACAACACTGGGATGTTAACATCGTGGGTGGTGAGTGGAGAGCAGAAAGAAACCCGAGTCCTTATCATGACAATAAGGAGCTGCTAAATCTCCAGCCTGCCCTATCTTGGGACTTGCTGCCACAGATGATCTTAATTTTCCTTATGGTTGAAACCGTTTTGAATCAGGTTTTTCTGTTACTTGTGACTGTTGTTATCCAAAGCCCAGGCAGCCAAAGCAGTGATGGTCCACGTCAGGGGTCTTGTAAATGGGCTCACTCCATGCACAGGGTGATGGTTTTTGGCCACCCTGGCCAAGTTGGACTGGTCCTCTGGGCTTTGTGCATTGGTCTCAGTAGCGCCTGCGGGTGTCTTTGGCCCACCGCCCCCGGAAATACTACCTAATGTGGCCTCACAGAATTGCCCTCAGCCTGTTTGGGGTGATTGGTCGAGGCCCGATGTGCTTCTCCGTGTTGAACTATTGCAAAACAGAACGTGTTTTGAGACAGTAGTTGGGGGGACTGTTTAACGCTCTCATTCCTGGACGTCTAGTTTTGTGACATTGACTGAACCATAGTTATTTTCTTGTTTGTGTTGGAGGAGATCAATTCTGTCTATCCTCAGAACATATGTGAGTTTTCCTACAAAGGGGTATGGAAATGGGGCAAGACCTTTGGCCGGCGCTGAGCTGGGCTGAGTGGACTGGGGGGTGGCTTTAACGAGTACTGCATCCTGGAGGTGACAGATCGTCGCCCTCGCCCCATTTGTGGAGAGGGGTGGCTGTGCCGGTGGGCAGAGGGAGGCAGGATGGTGGTGCTGGCTCTGGCCCGTCACCACAGCGACCACAGAGGAGAGACATGGACCATCCAAACACCACCACGGCCGCGGCTGCATTGTTGTCACGGAGGATGACGGGCCCTGTGTCTTCTCATTCTTCCCCTTCCTCCTTCATAGTTTTGAAAGCTCTTCTCTAGCCTTAATTAGCAAGGGTGAAACCAAATTAATTAATCTCATGAAGAGTAAGGATGGAGACCTCATTTGACCTCTGTAACTGGCTCCCCTGTCCTGGTCTTCGGGGAGGCAGGGCAGGATAACACAGAGAGCTGGCCTTCGAGCCAGACAGACCCTGGCTCGAATCCCAGCTATATTACTTTTACATGTACGACCTTGGGTGTGTCTGGGGTCAGTGTCCCCATGTGTAAAATGGGATCATAGCATCTCCCTTGCATAGCTGCAGTGAGGAGTGAATGAGCTAGGGAGGAGGGCAGTGGTCATGGTGGTGGTCGTCTGAGCGATGTTTTGTTTTGACACCAATTCTCCACCACCAACTGGGTTTCCCACAATTCAATTCAGTTCTGACACTGTCTACCTGGAGTCAATGTCAGATCCCACACAAGTTAAGGGGCTCAGTCCTACAACACTGTCCCACTTCAGATACCAGTCAAAAGTCCTGGGCTACCCACACTTCGGACCAACAGGGCTATAAATTGAGGGTTCTCACGACCCCCTCCTCAGGTTGGCTAATTTGCTAGAATGGCTCAACAGAGCTCAGGAAAACACTTTACTTACATTTACAGGTTTATTATAAAGGATACAAATGAATGTCCTGATGAAGAGGTATATTGGGTGAGGTCCAGAAGGACCCCAAGCACAGGAGCTTACGTCCCTGTGGAGCTGGGATACACTACCTTCCTGACCATGGATGTGTTCACCAACCCAGAAGGGCTCCAAATCTCATTGTTCGAGTTTTTATAACCCAATCTCCAGCTCACCTACCCTTCCTGGAGGTTGGAAGGCGGGGCTAAAAGTTCCTATCCTCTCTTCCCTTGTCTTTCTGGTGCCCAGTCCCCATTTGAAGTTATCTAGGCTCCCCTGCATCATCTCATTAGCATAAACATGGATGTGGTCCAAGGGGCTCATTAGGAATCACTCAGGAAAGTCCAAAGGTTTGGGGAGCTCTGTGCCAGGATCAGGGCACAGAGACCAAATATATTTCTCATCATACCACATCATGTATCTCTGAGAGACAGACAGTCGTTGCTTTAAAATCAGATTAAAATGATCGCTGCTGTAAGCCTGTGGCTGTTCTGCATCCTCACCACCACCACGGGGGAGGGAGGGGCCCCAGATCCCGCCAGAGCTGAACCGCGTGGTAGAGCAGAATCACAGAAGGTTCCCGAGGACTGAGAGAGGAAGCAGACCCTTTCTTTCTGTGGGGTTCCTCACCAGCTTGGTGCCATCTGGCTTCCTGCTTCCCTCTCCCTGACTCTCACTCACCTCCACCCTGACTCTCTTCCCTCTGTTCCCTGGACAGTTGCCCCAACCGCAGTATGTTACCTGGAGCTCATTTCTAGATTCCCAGGCTGGCACCTGCCTCTCCAGTGGTGTTCCCAGGCTTCCTAAATTAGACTAGCCATTCTGCAAAGGTGGGGTCTGGGTCTCCATTCTGGGTCTTCCACACACCGGGCTTTTTCAGTAAGTGAATTGCCTTTGCATCCTGAGAGTTAGCACCTGTGTGATTCATCATCCTCCTTGGGGGGCGGCGGGGTCCCCTGAGTCCTCCCTCTCCTGTGACCCTGACACCACCTGGGGATTTAAGATGACTCAAACCCCAGGTCCCACAACCCAGGAGGAGCTGGAAACCTTCCTAGGATTTGGGCAAATCCCAGGCAGCTGATGGCTGCTTCACATGCCTTGATTTGCCCCACACCAAACCTGAACTCAAAGCTCAGCCCCTTCTCCCAAGGCCAGCAAGCATTTCACAAGGGTGGCCACTTCTGCCGGAGGATGGAGGGGTCACGGAGGGCACATCTCACACCCTCAGCCTCCCGCTGCTCCCTGCTTCACTTCTCTCTTCCTCTCCTCTCTCTCCTCCCCCTCCCACAGCAACAAACGGACTTTTCCTCTTGTCCCAAGCAAAGCAAGTCCTCCCACACCCAGACCTCTGGAGATCTCAACTTCTGTCGTTAGCACTCCTCCAGGTATTGTATCAAACCAAGTTTCCTTCCTACGAGGAGAAAGGGTACATCTCCTCCAGCTCGCCCACCCTGTGACGGGCACTCCCCACTGCCCCCAACCTCACCCTATCTCTCCTCCACTTCCTGGCACATCCCAACCTTTTCCACACCACCTCCCCCTTCACCTATCCCTTTCCTGCCTTTCTCCCTACAGCAAGACCCTCCCTCTCCCACCCCAGAGGACTCTGCCACTTCTGTGTTTAGGCCTCTCCGTTCTGGATCTCTTTGCATTTGCTGCCCTCATGTAGGTCAGGGCTGGGGCGGATCCATGTTTCTATTTAATTCCTGACTTGCAGGCGGCAACTCCTTCCTTCGGAAGAAAGCTACTGGAAGCAGGTGAGTGGGATATATTATTATGAGAACCCTATGACCCTCTAAAATGTCATGTATGTGAGCTACATGTGTGTATGTAGGGGGTGGGAGGCAGAGCTCCTCGGAATTGACCCCACACCACACTTGAGAATTCCCCTCCGGTGGAAACCGAGCCCGGGAGGGGAGCGCCTTCCTCCCGCCCTGACTTCAATCCTGGCCTCGCCGCAGGGTTGGAAGAGCTATCTAGAGGGTCATTAAATCATGTTTGGCTCCCAAGAGGGGAGGAATCCTTGCTGTAGCATTGGCTGCTTAAAGAAAAAGTGGAGTCCAGTGTGGATTTCCGCCGGTAGACAGATGCTCAGCACCGGGAGGCCCAGTGGCCTCAGGCCAGAGTTCGGGGCAGGGCACAGGGGAAGCCGTGGGTACCGGTGGAAATCCAGGCTGGCCTGAGGCGTGAGCCAGCAGCTCCGGGGGTGCAGGGCGAGCTGGCTGGAGGAGCAGAGCAGAAGCTCCCTCACAACGGGCCGACCAGCACCCACAGCCACGGAGGTCTACCCCCAGCACGACCACCGCCCCCCCCTCACACCGGGGCCAGGCCGCCTGAGTGCTGGGCCTGGGCGAGGCAGGCCCGGAGCCGCACCCCTCACAGCCTGGGTGTCCTCGCAGGTACATGATCGCCTAGACCGCTCCTGCTGTGGCTTCGAGCCCGAGCCGTCGGACCCCTGCGTGGAAGAGAGGCTCCGAGAGAAATGCCGCAACCCCGGCGAGCTGCGGCTGGTCCACATCCTGGTACGTCCGCTGTCACCTGTCACCTGTCACCCAGACTGCGGCCTTCCTGCCGGAGTTGCAGAGATCACGGGACACGGGCGGTTCCCGGCCCTGCTCTTTTTAGCAGCAGGAGCCTTTGGCTGGATAATGTTTCCAGGAAGCCACCATACATAAAACTGACCCCGGTGGGGCTTTGCCAGTGTGGTTGAGGTGGGACCACTCCACTGTCCCCTTGAGGGGTTTACAGGGAACCCCGAGGGCACCCGGAAGCAGGTGTGACATCTGTGTGTCTAGGGAGCCGCCCCCACCCTGCCAGCCAACGTGGGGACTGTGGCCTGGAACGGGCCGGGCGGTGGCAGTGACAGGGCTCTCTCCTATAGGATAGCCCACGGGCTGGTGCTGATCCGAGGGACACTGGGCTGTGCAAAGTAGAGCCCAGGCTGGGAAGTGATGAGCTGAGGCCATCAGAGACCGGGACAAGGGGCCACCCTCGGGAAGGGCTACTGTATCTTCTCCCCCAGTGACCCTAATGTCCTGGACGCCTTCCCCTGGCCAGTTGCTTGTGGAGGGTAGCATGGTGCCCCGGGCTGAGCATCAGGCAGGCCACACCAGCCCGGAGGCCAGGGCTGCCTCATGAAGCTGCTGGGTGGTAGGAAATCTCCATCTCCTGTCCTCAGAGCCTACTCCCCTCTTCCCTGGTAAAAGGCAGTCACCCCGGGGAGAGGTAAGGTTTTTATATCTATCATTCACCCCTGGGGGAAGCTATTTCACAGATCCCTTAGGACAGCAGTTTTTGGAGGGAGGAGTCAGTAGGCATCAAGAAATAGATGATCCCTGATATGGGTGGTGGGGAGAGAGAGAGAGAGGGAAAGCTAGGGTCCTGGAGGCAAAAGTTCCTAAGTTAAGCCAGGGTGATGGAGAGAATTATGGGAAAATACCATGGAATCCTGGAGAATATATAGGAATGGGGTGCACGGGGGTGGGAGTAGGGAGCAGAAGACATGGACTCTCATTCCCAGCCACACCACATCATGGGACTGTCAGCTCAGGGCCCCCCAAGCCCCTTAACCCTGACAGAATCCATGGGTGCCAGCTAGGCTCAACCTTCCCCACCTCTGTCCCTGTCCATCTTCTTCCTTGAGGTCCGGAGCAGTGATCCATCCCATCTGGTCTACATCGATAATGCCGGCAACCTTCAGCATCCTGAGGACAAGCTGAACTTCCGGCTGCTGGAGGGCATTGCTGGGTGAGGGTCAGCGGGATTGGATGGAGGTTTGGAGACCGAGGCCCGATTGCCCTGCTGTAAGCCGTGCGACCTTGACTCATGCTCCCGAGCAGTCCGCAGCCTGAGACAAAAGCTGCTGGATCTGAGCCCTGGGAGGAGGTGGGGAGCTGGGGGACGCAGCCAGCAGGCAGCCCCAATATCCAGAGGGCCTCCTGGCCCTGCAGAGCCCTGGCAGCCTGCTAGGGTCTGGGAAGGCTAGCCCTTCCCTTGCCCCAGAGGAGGAGCCAGCCTGGGGAGCCTGCCTGCCCTGCTCACTCATGGCAGGCGGCTCGGCCTTCTTAGGGCTCTTCCTGGCATTTCACCTGGGATAGCAGAGCTGATTCCGGCAGCTTCTCTGTGGGATGGGGGACCCCTCCAGAAGCCCCGTCCCGTCTGCTTTTGCAGGAGAGTAGGTGGGAGGGTTCTCTGATAACGAGCCAGCAGGCGGGCCCTGGGCACTCAGCAGGACGACTGTGCCAGGTCTGCCAGCTGTGCAATTGCTGGCCATCTGGCCTCACCCGTCCCGGACATTTTCTGAGATCACTTTTGCTTTTCCCTTCTGTCCTGGGGCCCGGGGGACCTGCCTCCAGGTTTCCTGAGTCTGCCCTGCAGGTTCTGGCCTCAGGGTGTCTGCAGAACATGCTGCTCAAGTCCCTGTGGATGGACCCCGTGTTCTGGGAGAGTCAGGGCGGGAGACAGGGACTGAAGCGGGTGCTCCGGACCCTGGAGCGGCGAGGCCAGGTGCTGCTGGAGCACGTCCGCAAGCACAACCTCACCCTCTTCAGGGAGGAGGCCTCGTGAGCTGCCTCGCTGGCGGGGCGCTCCCGGCACCACCTGACCAGGTGAGCACCCATCCCGGTGGCCACAGTCTCTCGGATGCCCCCAACTTGAAGACAAACGGGAAAAGCCAGAAGAAACCAGAGGATACCGTGGATGTCCCAGATGTCCCACCTTCTTGGGACAGTGAAGGTGGTGGTGGGTGGTGGGTTTTCCATCTTAACCACCCTCCTTTCTGCCTTTTCAGCTCTGGCTGTTTCCTCCCTTCCACCAATAAATATATTCAACAATGTTCTATGAACCGCTCCAGATACTATGAAGTTGTGCATCCCACACGCACATGTAGAGTGGACGTGTGTGTGTGTGTGTGTGTGTGGTTTCCCCCCGGAGACACCAAGCCAGAAGCTTGTCAGTAGGCAAGCCCCCAAGCTTCCAGCAAGCACTTGTGTGCCCTGATGTGAACAGGTCCGCTCAGCACAGAAGGGTGGACGCATCAACAGTGTGTGGCCCTGGCCAGCTTGCCCAGCGCACGTCGACCACCCAGGGCGCGGCAGGACAGGGCCCAGCGCTCTGCTCAGCGCACTCGGCAAAGACCAGTCTCCAGCAAGCCCAGCTCTGCGCACGTCCTCAGAACTCCCGGGTTGACTGCCCCCCTTCCTGGGCTGCTCCTCAGCCCCAAGTGGCTCCAGCGGGGGGGCGCAGGCCTCTCACGGGGCTCTTCCTCAACAGCTATCCCTCCCCTCCCTCCCTTCTGCCTCAGAAGGCCTTTTGAAATGTAGGGACCCTTAAGATTTTGTCTACTTGGGTTTTCAGAGGACTGGACTTGAACAAAGGAGCTCTGGGTTCAGATCTGGCCCGGGCCACTGCGTGGTCAGCAGATGACACAGGTTTATTGAGCACCCGCCGTAATGACACTTCCTGAGCGACAACTGTGCACCAGGCACTGTGACAGTGGTTTGCGTGGATCAAAGCATGTACCCGCACCGCACCCCGACGGGCACGTGTGATTATTAGCATCTCCAGTGTACAGATGAGGCCCAGAGGGGTTAAGGAACTTGTTCAAGGGTATCCAGCTCGTAGGCGGAGGGGTCAGAATTCAAGCCCAGGCAGGAGTTGTCTTGAGCATGTCTTGAGCCTGGGACCCCCACGAAAGGGCTCCCACTGTCCTCCACGGTCACTCGGACAGCTTCTCCTCCTCTAGTCCCTTTGGAGTCAGAGCTGATGATGAGGCAGGGCCGATTCCCTGGAGTGTGGAGCTGCACACTTCGACCCCGGCCATGCACAGTCACACGCATCTGGCTCCCTGCCCATTGCTCTTTGCTCGTGAAAGTCAGCTCAGTCTCTGAACTGGGTCTTGCCTACGAACTTGAAACTTCAGCCACTTTCTATCCTTTTCAAAGAACACTCTCAGCCACAGGGTGCGCCGCTTGCCCTCTGCCTCCCCCAGCCATTGCCTCTGGAATGAGAAGGATGTGCCCAGCGAAGCAAACAGCTGGGGGTGGTGAATCGGGACCTTCCCATCAACCTGAAGAGGCTTTGGCCGGGGGGATGTGGCAAGAGCTGTGAGGGGTCTGCGGTGCGGGGGCTGCTCACCTGCATGCCAGTCCTTCAGAAAGCGGCCGGCCACAGGGTCTGGTAAAGCCAGCACAGTCGCCAGCCACCATGCTGCCTGACTCGCCTCACCCCAGGCCCCACCGTGTTTCTTTGTACTTCGTTCCAAAAGGGCTGCTGCAAAGAAAATGATGGTGCTTCCAAAGGGGAGTGGCAGCTGATAGTAACAGTGGTTCACAGCTCTCTAGATGCAACTGCAACAATCCCCAAGCTCTGAAAATCAAACGCCTTTTCCTACCTTCGGGGCCAAAACTCATGTCCCACTCAGCTCGAATATTCATACGGTTCAGTGCCGAAATGCCAATGCGTTCAGGGATTGGGTGTAACCCCAGACCCCGCTGAGAGTGTAGCGTTACACACGGAGAGGTACCTTATTACCTTTCTATTATCTGAAGAATTCAGAATTCGGAATGACTTCTGGCCTCCAGGGTTTGGCTTTGGGATTCCAGACCTGTGACAACTTACTACAAACCAGGCATGGCGCTAAGGGCTTTACACAGGTGATTTCATGAATGCCTTACCATCCCGGCTGCACTATCCTCACTCTACAGATGAAGAACCTCGGCTGGGGAGGGAGCGCCTTGCCCGAGGCCGCACAGGTGGGGCGGCAGAGTCTGCCCCTGAACCTGGGGAGCACCACCTGGCATGAAGTGAATACAGCCGATGGCCCACACCGTGCCAAGAGCGGAACCGTGTTTCTCATCGCAAACCTTCGGAATAACTCCAGGAGGTGGGCGTCACCGCTCCCATTTGACAGAACAGGAAACAGAGGCACAGAGAGGTTGAGTCACTTGCCCAAGGTCACAGAGCAGGTAACTGCTGGAGCTGGGATTTGAACCCAGGCCCGTTTAACTCCAGAGCCCCTGCCCCCACCGCTATAGCATCCTTCCTTCTTACCTTCATTCATCCACTCATGCAGATTTTCCACACAGAATATAGAATTTGGAAGCAATCCATGTGTGCGGCATGCTTTGGTGGCCATGTGTCCCAGATGTTTGGAGACACATGTCGTCTGGCCATCAGAGCGTGTGTCCTGGTGTTCTGTTGGTGAGCAAGGTCCCCGTAGCTGAGGATACAGGAAGCGTGAGGGCAGCAATGTGGGCAAGAGGGGCTCACAGGAGCTCTGCCTGAGTGTGTCGGGGGGCAGCACAAGATGTGGGAGGTGAGACCTCTGTGAATGTTGCCAGACCGTTTCCCCTCAGCCAGGGCCTTCAGATGAGTGGGCGGGCCTCCCCTGAATCCCTAAGGCTCACCCACCAGCTCGGGCAAGACACTTCCCACGCTCCCTACTCCTGGCCCACCTGGGGTTCTGGTTAGCACGGCTGGGGGATGCCTGTTTGCGGAGTGGGTCTAGTGGGGCATTTGGGTATTATAGGGGCTGGAGGCCTTTGGGGCAAGAGGTGGGGTAACCTCTGCCACCCTGGCCTTGTCCAACCGATGAGAGAAGAGTCACTGAGCCTCCAAGGAAGCGGACCAGAGCAGAAGGCATCTCGAGGTAGAAAGTCGGGTTCCACACAGTCCACACCACAGCAGAGGCTGGATTCAGTTGCTGTCAGAAAATAGCATGGGGCGGGGGGTGGGGGCGTGCGTTCATCTGGGGACTTGGCAGGTGACAGGCTAGGGCATGCCGGACTGCAGGTGCACCCAGGGAGGCCTCGGGGGGAGGAGGCAGCATCTAGCAAGTAGACGCAGACACGGAAGCCCAGGGAACTGAACCGAAGAGGCGGTGGGCTTTGATGGCAGGGTTGCGGGGGGCTGGGAGGGGCTTGGCCTCCAAGATGAGCCAGGCTTACCTGTCAGTGGGGAAGGTAGCACACGCAAGGTGTGATCTGAGGAAGGCTCCTTCTGTTAGTGTCTACAGTTCCACTGCAGGATGTAGCTCCTACGTGATTTCGGGGGAGCGTCTGGTTTTCTGAGGGGCGCCTGCCAGGAGAAGCACACCCCACCCCGAGGGCAGGCAGAGGCGGGGTGAGCTCTGGAGGGTTCCTAGTGCAGGTCGTGGAGGGAAGTACAGGTCAAGGGCACCTCACGGTGCGAGGCCCAGGAGACAAGCTAAATGAAGTAAGTCACTTAAAGCTGATGGGTGTGAGAATATGGATTTTTGTCAAGTTTCTTGTGTGTATGTCTTCCCAGCGGAGGATCATTTGCCAGAGGATCATTTCTACCGCAGACCCTGCATAACGCCAAGCAGCAAGGCCTCACCTGCACGTGTCTGGGTGAGCGACACTGAGCATGACCGGGGAGGCTAGTGCATAAGGCAGATCCTGCAGTGATTGCTTCTTACACATCTGACTGCCTTGTCCTCATGACGGCCGCCTTCATTGAAAACACACGCACTCACACATGGGGCAATGGGACCCCAGACACCTCGCTGACTTTTGTGCTGGGAAGGACTGGAGGCATTCCTTCTCTGCCCTGCACACTTGGAAGCTCTGTCACCACACAAAGACACATCTAGTCCTAGTGGGTGACTCGGTGCACGTGGGATTGAGACTGGGTCGTCCGACCTCCACCCGCCCACCCTAGGAAGGCTTCCTGCAGGGTCCAGGCCCGGAAGCTGTGCATGTCATTACCCAAACTCCCTCACGGGGCCCAGCCAGGCTCAGGACGCAAATTGGATTCCACGATTTGGATGCACTCAGGGGTCGGGTGGAAGGAGAGAGGTGGAGAATGTGGTGCACCTCTCAGCTATTTTCGGTCACCAGCTCTGTGATGGTTGACGTGGTTGTGACAGTGTGGCAGGAGCTGGGATAGTGACCCTGGCATCGTGAGCCTGGGACCCTAACTCAGCTCCTGGCTCCTGGACCCCTAGCTCCAGCAGGAGCCTCCGTAGCCGGGCAGTTCTCAGAACTGCTCCTCAGGGCCCAGCCCGGAGCCCACACCTCTCATCCTCCCAAGGATTTTTAACTTTTCATTTTGACATAATTATGAATTCACAGTAGTTGCAAAGACAGTACTGGGAGGTCCTGCGTACCCTTCATCCAGTTTCCCCCAGTGGTTGCATCTTCCGTAATTACATAATTACGGTACAGTTCCAAAACCACAGACTTGACATTGGCATACTGTGCGTCATTTTAGCACCTGTGGATTCATTAACCACCACGGCAATCGAGATACGGACTCCCGCCACACCCAGCCCTTCACTCTCTCCCACCCTCATCCCCGGCAGCCGCACATCTGGTCTCCATCTCTACAATATTTGTCATTTTGAGAACGGTATCTAAATGGAATAGCACAGCATGTAAACTTTTGAGAGTGGCTTTCTTCACTCAGCATAATGCCTCTGAGCTCCAGCCAAATTGTTGTTTTTACCAATAGTCTGTTCCTTTTTTATTACTGTTCCTTTTTATTCATTAGCATCCCATGGTACAGAGAGACCACAGTCTGTTTACAAGTCACCCCCTGAAGGACATCTGGGTCATTTCTCGTTTTCGGCTAATACAATTAAAGCCGCTCTGAACATTCTTGTACTTGTTTTTGTGTGAACAGAATATATTCTTTTTTTCTGGGGCAAATGCCCTGGAGTGCAATTTCATGGTAATATGTTTAATTTCTTAAGAAACTGCCAAACTATTCCCAGGCTACTGTTTTACATTCTTCTCAGCAGTGCATATGAGAGATCCAGTTTCCCTGCATCTTTTTAGACATTTGGTATCGTTCCTATTTCTTATTGTA